CTGATTCTGTAATGGTGCAGATCTCGATTGTACGACATGGCTTCCGCACACGACAGCACAATACAGAAAAATGCGATGGTAACCAACAGCTGTCTGTGATTCTTATAATCACCAGCGTTGATCATCATCCTCACTACCATCATCATCATCATCATCATCATCATCATCATCATCATCATCATCATCATCATCATCATCATCATCATCATCGTCATCATCATCATCAACAACAACAACAACATCACCATCAACAACAACAACAACAACATCATCATCATATATTCATAATCAACAACATCATCATCATCATCATCATCATCATCATCATCATCATCATCATCATCATCAATATCAAAGTCGAGTAATCAGTAATCCCACTGGAAGTTGTATCAGTCTGTTACAGTGACAGAACACAGTGATTAATAGTGATCTTAACACATCACTTTCTGACAAATACCTTGTCACTTTTTAAATTGATGGAATCAATACTTAACCGATGTTACTATTATCTATGAGGTTCCAAATACAAACAACACAAAGACTGTATTAATAGTTAGTGACATTGGTATCATAAGTTCACAAGGTGAAATGAACACGAGGTTACATATTAATTTGATATAAGGAGAGATATTCTACTTGTTTATTTTTCTTGTAGAAATCCTGGTAGTCTTGATCACTGGAATTGAGCCATCAGACAGCTGGTGTTAAGGCCTTTCAGTTAATCTGGATAAAGTCAGCCAAGTAAAGGTAGTCCGGACAATACGGGCTAGGTCGAGGTAGTCTGGATAAGACAAATTAAGTCTTGATAATCCGGGTAGAAATTTAACAAAGTCAAGGTAATATTGGTCAAACCAGCTAAGTCAACGTAATCCGGGTAAAATCAGCAACTGGTAGATCAGTCCGGGTAAATTCACCAACAGGTAGATCAGTCCGGGTAACATCAGCAACATGTAGATCGATCCGGGTAAAACCAGCAACAAGTAGATCAATCCGGGTATCATCAGCAACAGGTAAATCAATCCGGGTATCATCAGCCACGTGTAGATCAATCCAGGTAAAATTAGCAACAGGTAAATCAATGCGGGTAAATTCAGCAACATGTAGATCAGTCCAGGTAAAATCAGCAACAGGTAGATCAATCCGGGTATCATCAGAACGTGTAGATCAGTCCGGGTATCATCAGCAACGTGTAGATCAGTCCGGGTAAAATTAGCAACAGGTAGATCAATCCGGATAAAATCAGCAACAGGTAGATCAGTCAGGGTAAAACTAGTGTAAAATGATTTGTTTTTATTTGATTTGCAACTTTTGAAGTAATCGGGGTTCTATACCTCCATAATGTGACGTCATTGTGTAATTAGCAAGTATGACTTCATTTCACAATTATGACGTCACATTATTTAAAGAAATTATCAAAGCAGCTCTTTGTGTCTGTTATGTGTTCTAGAGAAGTTTACCGTGTACTTTAGCACGTTACAAAGATATCAATATTAAATTATTTCCATCCAGCATTGCTACCGACCGTTGTTATATCGCGGATAAAATATTTGACGTCAGGTTTCTTGAACCTTTAGAATACATTTGAATATCCTATCTACTTATATCACCCTTTTTTGTGTGTAGCGTTATCTATCATCGGTATATTGATCTTTAGCCATAGTAAAGCGCAGATGACTACTTGTTTTCTTCAAAAGGAAATCGCCTTAGAAACATTTTATTCAGAAGTTTTAACACCTATCTTTATAAATGGAAAGGGTTCCAGGTAGAGACAAAAAATCCTTAAGCGTGGGGTTACTTTGAATGTCTTTTAACTTATCTCTTATTTTAGAAAAAAACGCCTGTTGGAATCCTCACTAATCGTGGATGTATATCAGATTTACAATATGTAATAGATTTAAGTATTCTGAGACTATCTATTCTAATTTTTATTCAACAGTTGCATGACGATGGTTGGGCGTTTTCTTATGTTAATGAAATGTAAAATTAACAATGACATATGTATATATGAACTTAAAACTGTTAAATATGTACTTTACAAAATGGATAGTTTACACAGTATCAACAAATTTAGCTAAACTGCATTCAAATATGTTCACAGGCTGATACTAAATGGCGTTTTAAAATTCACCGACAGGTGTTTGCAATAGAATAGCTCAATACCCAACTTTAACTTGAAGCAATTAATTTGAATAGATGCCCATAATGGACTTAAGAAAACAGGAATGGCTTCCATTATTTCTGCTATTTGTAAAGGTCATAGTGGAGTTGGTGATATCTGATATTGATTCTGATTCTAATTGCCTTATGTGTACATACTTATACATGTATATAAAGACATATTTGTTAAAGTGCTGTGAAATAAACTGATCAAAATTGTCTCTTGTCTTCTTCATTTATATAAAATATACTTCAAATCCAAACCAATCTCCGATAAAAACATTATATTTTTTTGATAAAAAAAGAATCAAAAGTGTCGGTTTTTTAACCTTCAAAAAGCACGAAACGCATTTCTAGATGACCATATCCCCCAAACAATAACTTACATCTCATTAGAGAACTTGATATAACTTACTTGGGTTGATTAAGATTTACATGGTAGATGAAGCAGAAGACGCGCACTCCTCTGGAACACGTGGTTTTATTCTCCTTCTTGTACTTTTTCTTGAGACGTCGTGTAAGTCTTTCTTTAAACCATATTTTGTCAGATTTAAATGAATATGAGTTTGGACTTTGATTATGATAATATATTGGTATTTTCATTTTTCACATTTTCCATTCGTCGAAGGTAACATTTCTGATTCCCTATTTAAAAAGGAATGTACAATAATTAAACAAAATAGAATTGCAACCTCCAATACAAAATTAACATAAGGTAAATTTGAATCAAAGTATTAGTAAACTGGTTCGTTCGTCTAGGATTGTAACCGTGAAGGCGACAGAGAAAAATGAAAATTCCGTGATCAACAAAGTTAATCGTTTTCACAAAAAGGATATTTCAAACAGACATCAGGTTTGTGTCACTAATCAAACGGGATGCAGCTAACAGAAGATTTAAGGATGTACTGTTCTGATGTGTGACCAGAATTCAATATCAAATGGATTTCAGCGTAATGTTTTGAACTTTTGTGTGTTTACATACGTTGTTATCTATCGTTCTACATATTAGCTGCAAAAATGACTTTTTTAAAACAAAAATCAGTTGTGGACTACATTTTAGACGGTGTGATTCGGTTAATAACGTCAACAATTTCGACGTTTTATTCGTTACTGAAGTACTTCTCATGAGTATAAACCGGAAGTCTAGGGGTATTTTTCAACTTAATTTTACATGAATTATCACAACGAATCATAGTTTCAAAATTCATAAATTTCGACTTGGTTGATCACTTTCCTCGAATTTTAGGACTGAAAAACTAATATTTCAGCTTGATTCTTGATCTTGTAAAACTGGCTATTTGGATTTCAAAATTTGAAGCATAGAAATCTCCTCGTGTTTAATTCTGAAAATTCTTTATCCAAGCATAATGTCTTTAAAAAGTTAAATACTGAGATGGTCAAAAAGAATTTGAGCCATTTTTCGAGCTTTCTATTTCTCGGTTGCTACACAGGTGTACTTTCAATAAAGCAAATGAAAATTTAACATTTTCACATAATTTTTCTCAATATCCAATTATCATACTATTACATTTTAATGAAAGATGAAAAGGTTTGTCACGAAATAACAATGAACGTCCGTTAACCAGGAAAACTATAAGAATAATACGTGAAAATGAATTATTTCCTGTGACACGTATTCTGATGGCATTATCAGAAAAAAGACTGAATTCTACTGGTGTAAGGGTTTCTCAGATTCCTAAATAGAGGCAATTGAAACAATCTCTTACCCAACAAAATGAACCATGCTACTTTCCTGTCAAAAACATTTAAAAGGTGAGATCAAGAACTAGCAAAAAGAAGGTAAAAAAAATGCTCAGAATACCAGTCAATGTATATATCCATAATGGTTTAAAACACAACAAGAAAATACCAACAAGGCAACATATTCATAATTCAAACTCATATTCTATAAAACTAGGCATAACACTGAGTTCTTCTTATGAAACACTAAACACTCTTACATGTCTTATTTAAGTCTGTCTGTTGGAAAAAATGAATAAAGAAAATAGTAACATGTCAACATGATCAAGATTCAAATTCAAATTCGATCAAACGACTGCAAATATGAACAAAACAAATATTGATGCGGGGACTCCTAAAAAAGTACAATAAGACCAGGTGTTTCGGAAGCGAAGAAAATACAATAAGACCAGGTGTTCCGGAAGGGAAGAATAGTACAATAAGACAAGGTGTCCTGGAAGGGAAGAAAAAGTACAATAAGACCAGGTGTCCTGGAAGGGAGGGAAAAGTACAATAAGACAAGGTGTCCTGGAAGGTAAGAAAAAGTACAATAAGACCAGGTGTTCCGGAAGGGAGGAAAAAGTACAATAAGACCAGGTGTCCTGGAAGGGAGGAAAAAGTACAATAAGACCAGGTGTTCCGGAAGGGAAGAATAGTACAATAAGACCAGGTGTCCTGGAAGGGAGGAAAAAGTACAATAAGACCAGGTGTTCCGGAAGGGAGGAAAAAGTACAATAAGACCAGGTGTCCTGGAAGGGAGGAAAAGATACGATAAGACCTGGTGTCCTGGAAGGTAAAAAAAGTATAATGCGACCAGGTGTTCCGGAATGCTGGAATATTTAGACTGTAAAACATATTTCCCGGTGTAGATGAACAGTGACGGATTACACAATAAACACTTCCCGTGGAATAATAATTATCAGTTCTTCGCTATGAAATGTTATTAAGCTGTTAATGGAGAATCTAATATGTTAATTCAGATATTAGATTCCACTAGTAAGTAAAACAGTTTTTCCAATTGTTCAAGAATCTGTCCTCCAGAAATAACGTTCAATATAATCTAGTACAACTAAGATTTTCAGTACAAATAACACAGTCATTGGTCAACCTATGCGATGCGTAATGCGCACCAGGTTGTAAGTAATCTCGACAACAGTTACACATGTAAATACCACAAAGAATACGTTGTCCAATGCCTGGCCAACGGAACGCCACGTGGGAAATGAGGTAGTATATGTGATCTGTGCTATGCTTTGTGTGTCCTTCATTTTATCGACAGTCGGACGATCCTCTTGCTTTTCAAATTCATCTTTGTTGTCAACTCTATTTCTGGATCGTATTATGCGCAAAACCCACAGTGGAATAGGCTTGCGTTCATCAGTGTGGTAAATTTTCAAAATGAAAACAACGGTCAATACTATCATGGCGCTGTAAATAAGTTTGATCATTAAAGAAGTGGTTAGAATGGACACCGGATCACTGGTGTTGGGTATACTATCCGACATTATAGTCATATACACGGACAGGGTTAGGAGCACCGTGATGGCGAACGACACCCTCTCCCCAGAGTCTGCCGGCAGAATGAACGCTAGGAGATTCACGAAATTTAACAGACAAATAGGCAGAATAATAGTAAAAATCAGGTAGCTTGGACGTCGCTGAATCATTAAAGATATTTCAATAAACGATATGTTTTTCTGTTCGTAGTTTTTGTATTTAAAATCAACTATTTTCCAAAGAAGATTATTCTTTGTGTCTGGTTCCATCTTCATGTCCAGAATCGTGGCTTGTATCTCTGAGGCCAGCTCTTGTGTAGTCAGTGTAACTGAGCACATATGGACATCGTAAGGATAATAGGTGATGTCCGGTTCACATGTTGTTGTCATCACGCCGTTTAGTAAGTATACTGCCTTCCCAGAGCTGGAGAAAGATATTGAAATATCCCCAAACCTTGAGGTTCTCGTGTTCATGTCATCCGCGCCGTTAGCAATGAAGAAAATAGGAGCCCATACATCTGACTCCCTAAACGCTACCTTCTGTATGTTTCCATAATCAGCGGGATTCCATGTCATTTTCTCATCTGTCCATGCTAAATGAAATAATCCCATGGTGGTCATTCTTCCATTAACTACGTCGAAGTCGTTGAGTGACTTCAAAGTGTATATCATAACAATAAAAAGAGCGTTGTCCTGGTTTTCCAAGGGGCGAACTTTCCTAGAATAACCCGTCAGAAGGTCAGACTGGAGGCCAGTCATGTTGCCATAGGACGCTGCTGATGTACTCGAGAGGAACATCGACAGAATTAATAACATTGTCCTTACGTCATGGGTCGTAATCTTCATGATGTACATGCAATATTTCTGCTGCTGCACTGAAACTGTAATCCTCAAAAGAATCATAAAGTTATTTACTGACCAGGTTACCCTGTGTGTGGTTCGTGAGATAATGACTCAAAGTTAAGCTGCTACGTAGACTTATCCGATTCCAATGACAAAAAATCAATAAGAAATTATGATGTATTACAAGTAGTATTTGTAGATCTGTTAACCTGTCGACATTCTTTAAAAGGCTTGGTAGCTTGTGGAAGTGATAAATCATTTCAGAATTGTATTTTCTTTTAGCAATTTCTCTTAAAGTAAATAGTTCCCGTCTTTGCCAATAATGGCTTATCATGAATTACAGAAGTTAACTTACACCACTATATCAGGAATAATTATGCTGGCTTGTAACGTTGTATCTAATGCATCGTTAGGTTGACGTAGCAAAATATAAGCTTATAGTCAAACCTGTATATAGGTAGAAGACCATTATATACTCATCGCCGGACCTTCGCTTACAAAACTCACATTGTAAAGACAAATCTATAATATCGTTTGTCGATATAACAATGTCGCTAAAATTAATGCTGTTACAATATAGATTCAAAGACACAAGCCTCGCGTTATATCAATTAGTAACCGGAAGAGACTAATGACTTCGAGAATTTGATAGTGTTTTCTGTGGCCAGTCGGCTTAATGTGGGATTTGGAGATATGTGATTTTCATATATGATGTTCATTAGAATAGTAGCACGGTTCAGAATAAGAACATGCACGTCACGCTCTTATCGAGTCGTTACGTATTGAAAATAGCTAAAGAAAAACAAGAAGAATGCACCTACATGTCAACATAATCATAATCCGAACTCATTCAAATCTAGTGAAAATAGGAACAAAAGAACGATTTACACGGAGAGTCTTGAAAAATTATAACACCATTCTGCCAATGACTTTTAGCATTATAAGATACCCTAACAACAGCAAAAATTGGGAATTGTTGGCACAGAAATACGAATTTTGACGTCACCTACGCCGACAAAACATAGTCCACAAATAAACGTTCTAAAAAACATCATATTTAGCACGTAAATTTGACTGCTTAAGTAAAACCTTTTTACAATAAAGTACATATCAAAACTAAAGACATTAAAATATCACGTTTGGATTAATTTGATACTGAATTATATTCTGCTTCCGGTCAAACATTGGTTTCAAATATTCTGAATATCATTGCCCAGTATCTGTGAAGTTATGGTAGAGAAGTGGTATTTCCTTGGTAGGCTATGCTATCAATAAGAGTTTTGTTGGAAGAGCATTGTAATGAAGTATCTGGGGCGGCATTTCACTTCTACATTACCATGGTGATATGAATTGTTTGATACTCTCGAAGTAAATTGTCCGTCGTCACATTGTTCCCAGGACTGTTTATTCTGATACTGATCAGCTTATCTTGATGAATAGTTTTAGATGCAGTAGCTTCAAGTATGAAATCAAATTCATCCTGGAACCATACTTTCATCTACATGTATACAATAATGAATTTCAATACATGTGACTTTTTTATAATTAATTTATTGTGCTGATAAACAATGCTGTATTCTAAATCATCGAAAACTGCTAATCCATATAGAATAACTTATTGCCTATCTTGATTTCGATGTAATTTTTGTTTATCAAAGGTGTAGTGGCATAAAACGCCTTCACATGCGTTTCTTTTTTAATTTTCTGAATTGTAAATACTACATGTTTATTCACACGTGTTTTGTTAAAATCAATGCCAGACAAAGACGGGACACTGTCGCCCCTCGCGGATAAATGTATCTGCCATTGTCAAGGCACGGTATATTTCAAGTAGACTGGGATAGTGCTATGATGATATTGGAAAAACACGACAAAACGATATCACAAACGTCTACAAGGGATGGTCAATTAGAATTAAGTAGATACGGGACGTCAAACAAGAGGATGTAAGTACATGGCAGTTATACCATCAGCTCTGTAACTCAACTATTGAACACTATCGGATTATCAACGTTGCATGTTTCCTCGTATCCACACCAATTTGTTACATACATGTACCTATATATAAGGACTTGCAGATCCTTCAGACATGGCTAAAATCAAAGTTACAGAAATTGCATATACTATAGGTCTTCGTTTTAAGTTGTAAAGTTGGAAAGTTAAGAATGACATAAATACATATTTATTCCTCATTTATTTTTCTGCATTGTTTCAAATCATAAACATTCGTAATTACAATTAATTATCTTTAGATACATGTAAATTATAAATACATCCATATGAATTACCAGAACTGAGAAAAAAGGCAATTTCGCACGGAAAGATTTTGCCATTAAATAAAATTGTACACCAGTATTGTGTAATGAGCATTCTAACATTGTAACTCCAATAAATTCACTTCAAATTTAGACAAAAAGTCAACCTCTTCGACATATTATTCGAACCATATGGAAGATGGTTTCTATACTTATCACTAAACTAAACACCAATAGCAACATGTAATCCAACGATCTCCCAACCTTTGACCACGTGATGGAAGAATCTGGCATCTTCTTTTGCTCCATTGTTGTTGCTCCTTTAACTTCAATATCACAATTTGTTCTGCAATGCTCTGTTTTAAGATCTGACATTTCAAGCTTCTGACCAATCCTTGAGCCCCTAATTTTGATCTTACGGATCGAGTTTTTATGTAAACATAACATGCGCGACAGCCAACTAGGAATTGGCGTGACGTCACTGAGGCGGTATATATTTAACGTCCCGATCACTGTCAAAACTATAAGACTGCTGTTGATGAGTTTGATCATCAGAGAAATCGTGAGGATGGACACCGGGTCACTGGTGTTTGGGATACTATTCGACATGATAGTCATGTACACGGATATTGTTAGTAGTATCGTAGTGGCAAATGACACCCTCTCCCCAGAGTCTGCCGGCAGTACAAATGCTAAGAGGTTGACGAAATTCAATAGACAAACAGGAACAAGTATATTGTACAATGAAAACGTCGGTCGTCGCTCTAATGCAAAGGTTACCTCGATGAAAGTGTTTGTGTTTTGAACGTTGTATGCTCGCATTTCCGAATATTCGAGTTTCCAAAACAAATTACTGTCAGCACCGGGCAATATAAATACTGCATCAAAATTTAGACTGACTTCATTCATTGGTTCCTTTGTTGTGAACTGTAGGTTACATTGATGTACGTCATAAGGGTAATACGTAATATCCGGGTCACATGTTGTAGATATGAGACCACTCAAAATAAGCGAAGCCTTTCCCGTGTTGTCATAGAGAACGGTAGAATCTTCAGATTTCGTTCCCTTGATATAAATATCATCGGCGCCGTTGGCAACTACAAATGTTGGTGCCCATACAAACGTTTCACGCATCTTTATCGTCTTAATGTCATCGTAGTCTGATGGAAGCCACGTAATCATCTCATCCATCCAGGTGACGTACAGAGACCCTGTGGTCACCATCCTTCCATTTACGGCGTCAAATTCGTTCAAAGATGTGAGCGTGTACATTATGTTGATCGCTATTGAACTACTCTGATTGCTCAGTGGGCGTATATCTCGGTTGTAGTTTGATCGTAAATCCTTGTGAAGGTTAGACATATTTCTGTAAGAACCAGCATAGGAATATGGCAATAGTATACACAGCATTATGATGGAAGTGACCTGTGATACTAGGTCTAATCCAGAGGAACGTCTCCTGTAAAGATTAACTGTCATTTTGATCTCCTCAATCTCGACACTGTATTAAAACTGCTGTGTTACATGGACATTGTTCAATTCTTAATTGTACATTAAGCTATTACTATCTAGTGTGTAGAGTGTGTCCCTGAAGGATCTGTCGACCTGTCTCCCACTATATTGTATTTGATTAGAACAGATTTTACATTAACATGGCTGTAAATCAATATTGCATACAATCGTTTTGTCACTTAGTACCAGAGAACATTTCGCGATAAAAAAAATGAAATTCTGTATAATTATGGTATTATTGACCTACACTGGATAATGGGCATTTTACCTGTGTAACCTAATCTGTGTTGTGTAACCTATTCTGTCTTGAGCATCCTATCGTCTGGTGTGTAACATATTCTGTGATGTGTAAAATATTCTGTGTTGTGTAAAATATTCTGTGTTGTGTAACCTTTTCTGTCTTGAGCATCCTATCGTCTGGTGTGTAACATATTCTGTGTTGTGTAACATATTCTGTATTGTGTAACCTATTCTGTGTTGTGTAACCTATTCTGTGTTGTGTAACCTGTTCTGTGTTGTGTAACCTATTCTGTGCTGTGTAACCTATTCTGTTTTGATAATCCTATCGTCTGTTGTGTAACATATTCTGTGATGTGTAAAATATTCTGTGTTGTGTAACCTAATCTGTGCTGTGTAACCTATTCTGTGTTGTGTAACCTATTCTGTGCTGTGTAACCTATTTTGATCATCCTATCGTCTGGTGTGTAACATATTCTGTGTTGTGTAACATATTCTGTGTTGTGTAACATATTCTGTGATGTGACCTAATCTGTGTTGTGTAACATATTCTGTGTTGTGTAACATGTTCTGTGTTGTGTAACCTTCTGTGCTGTGTAACATATTCTGTGATGTGACCTATTCTGTGTTGTGTAACCTGTTCTGTGTTGTGTAACCTATTCTGTGTTGTGTAACCTATTCTGTGCTGTGTAACCTATTATGTTTTGATCATCCTATCGTTTGGCGTGTAACATATTCTGTGATGTGTAACCTATTCTGTGTTGTGTAACCTATTCTGTGATGTGTAACCTATTCTGTGTTGTGTAACCTATTCTGTGTTGTGTAACATATTCTGTGATGTGACCTAATCTGTGTTGTGTAACATATTCTGTGATGTGACCTATTCTGTGTTGTGTAACCTGTTCTGTGTTGTGTAACCTAATCTGTGCTGTGTAACATATTCTGTGATGTGACCTATTCTGTGTTGTGTAACCTGTTCTGTGTTGTGTAACCTATTCTGTGTTGTGTAACCTATTCTGTGCTGTGTAACCTATTCTGTTTTGATCATCCTATCGTTTGGTGTGTAACATATTCTGTGATGTGTAACCTATTCTGTGTTGTGTAACATATTCTGTGATGTGTAACCTATTCTTTGTTGTGTAACCTATTCTGTGTTGTGTAACATATTCTGTGTTGTGTAACATATTCTGTGATGTGACCTATTCTGTGTTGTGTAACATATTCTGTTCTGTGTTGTGTAACATATTCTGTGCTGTGTAACATATTCTGTGATGTGACCTATTCTGTGTTGTGTAACCTGTTCTGTGTTGTGTAACCTGTTCTGTGTTGTGTAACCTATTCTGTGCTGTGTAACCTATTCTGTTTTGATCATCCTATTGTTTGGCGTGTAACATATTTTGTGATGTGTAACCTATTCTGTGTTGTGTAACATATTCTGTGATGTGTAACCTATTCTTTGTTGTGTAACCTATTCTGTGTTGTGTAACATATTCTGTGTTGTGTAACATATTCTGTGATGTGACCTAATCTGTGTTGTGTAACATATTCTGTGATGTGACCTATTCTGTGTTGTGTAACCTGTTCTGTGTTGTGTAACCTAATCTGTGCTGTGTAACATATTCTGTGATGTGACCTATTCTGTGTTGTGTAACCTGTTTTGTGTTGTGTAACCTATTCTGTGTTGTGTAACCTATTCTGTGCTGTGTAACCTATTCTGTTTTGATCATCCTATCGTTTGGTGTGTAACATATTTTGTGATGTGTAACCTATCCTTTCTTGTGTAACATATTCTGTGATATGTAACCTATTCTTTGTTGTGTAACCTATTCTGTGTTGTGTAACATATTCTGTGATGTGACCTATTCTGTGATATGTAAAATATTCTGTTTTGATCATACTATCGTCTGTTGTGTAACCTAATCTGTGCTGTGTAACCTATTCTGTGTTGTGTAACCTATTCTGTGCTGTGTAACCTATTCTGTGCTGTGTAACCTATTCTGTGATGTGACCTATTCTGTGATGTGTAACATATTCTGTGATATGTAAAATATTCTGTTTTGAGCATCTTATCTTCTGGTGTGTAACCAATTCTAACCTATGTAACCTATTCTGTGATGTGTAAAATATTCTGTCTTGAGCATCCTATCGTCTGGTGTGTAATATACTCTAACCTATGTAACCTATTCTGTGATGTGTAAAATATTCTGTCTTGAGCATCCTACCGTCTGGTGTGTAACATACTCTAACCTATGTAACCTATTCTGTGTTGTGTAAGCTTGTCACATATCACATGCATAAGAACTTTGAATTACGCGCGCACGGTAGAAAGTCGTGTATCGGATATTTATTTGGAAACGAGGGGAGGACATTCGAATATGGGACACTAGCAGGTGCGTTGTAACCGTGGGCGGTTAATAAACGTAAATACGGGAATAACACCAACGGAAACCGCAGCTTTCGGTGAGTGCCATACCCGTTAAAGGTTTATATATGTATTGTTAAATTCATGAGTTATTTTGCTGTGAGATAAACAGCCGTAAACAGTGTCATTACCTGTTCTATTTATAGAGTCGCAACCGTACTGTACAGGTGTATACACGTGTTAGCAGGTGCGCGTTTGTTATTGTAAGCTAGTAAGGTGGTGACGCTACATTTGTATATTCAAGGAGTGATGCGGCATAATATGTAACATTATAACAAACCCAATTGTAGTTAAGTAATTACTGTTTATAAGCTGGAATAATTTTGAATAATTATAAAGAGTTTCGTAGAGTGGTTACATCTATTGTGGCTTATGATATTACACGCAAAACGGGTTACGTTGTAGCGTTGCTAGTAATAGCGTGTTCCTTAAAGACGGTTACTGCAATTTACTCAGAATGATAGGGAATAAGTTTGTGATTAGTGGATGTCAATTATATTGTAGTTTAACCCGATATTGTTGGTGCCGGTGGGGTCTCACATTGACGTTTCCGGAGTGTTACGGACCGGTGGCCGATGCTATTGACCGGTGAGGTAGACCAAGGTTCATACAGTCCTCCAACTGGGAATGGTTATTTGGGATGATCGTCCAACCCTCGGGTCTGTTGATGTAGGATTCGTCTTCGGCTTGGGAGGGTTAAGGTTGTGGAGTACCTGGAGTAGCTATGGTAGCTAGGGACTCAGTACACCGAAAGTGGAACTCAGCCCACTAGTAAGTGTGAGGACGTTTGGCCGTCAGTGTGCAACATGGTGGATTACTGCCCACTTGCATTGTGATCTGAGACAGTAGTGTTCATTGTTTGACTGTTTTATAGAAAGTGTGGACCACAGCCCATCTTTACCAGTGTTATTGTGTATTTTGTTGTGTTGTAGCAATGGAGTCAAAGAGTGAGAGAATCCGTGTTAACTTACCTTTTCTGTCATTGTAAATAAATATATGTACAGGTATACTAAGGAACAAGTGTCAGTTATATATGTCAGCATCAACACAAAACCGCTCTTCCCGTTACAATTTTTGGTGGCAGCGGTGGGATGAAGTTTTGTGTTGATGGAGATGACTGATGATATATACATATGTTCTTTGGTAGGCCAATTACTTGTATAGAATTTCTTTACCAAATTGTCTTATATGCGAATTTGAAGCTTATAAATTCACAATGTCGTCTATAAAAGAGTTAGTTGCCATAGGAACTGAAATGAAACTTGAGGGTGAGGCACTCGCGAAGTTCGTACGTGAAGAGCAAGCCCGAGAACGCGATGAGCGTGAACGTGAACAGGAGGAACGCCAACGTGAACGTGAACGCGATGACAAACTTCAGGAGGCAGCCCGATTGCATGAGCTCGAGCTTATTAAAGAAAAACGCGAAAGTGTTGAGAAGGAGGTGAGATTTCAACTTGAATTGGAGAAAGACCGCGAGGAACGTGCAATTCGTGATCATCAACGGAAGCTTGAGCTGTTAGCAGTTGAGAAAAAGCCAAGTACTTCCGATTTGGAGGGTAACGCGAAACCGTCGGTGCGTGGTCCCAAGCTCCCACCGTTTGAGCAGGATAAGGACAATATAGACTCTTACATTAGACGGTTTGAGCAGTATGCGTCGGCACAAAAATGGGAAAAAAGTAACTGGGCGACCAACTTAGGGGCGTTACTTAAAGGGCGAGCCCTTGATGTGTATACAAGGTTACCTGTGGAACAGTCGTTCGACTTTGATATACTGAAGACGGCACTGCTAAAACGTTTCGAAATGACGGAGGAAGGCTATAGGAATAGGTTCCATACATGTAGGCCGGAGTCAGGTGAAAGTTTTACTCAGTTTGGCGTGCGACTCGACAGTTACATAGAACGATGGCGAGAAATGTCTAACACGGCTAAGATTTATGAGGGTCTTAAAGACCTAATTGTGCGCGATCAATTTCTGCAATCATTTGCACCAGAGCTTGTGTTATGGCTAAAGGAACGTTCTACCAAATTACTAGGTGAAATAGCTAAATTTGCTGACCAATATTCCGAAGCGAGGGGTAATAAAGGCAGTCTTGTTAAGCATAAGAACGCGGGAAAGAATCCTTCTCATGGTCCTAAGCGGGAGCAGTCCGACACACCGGAGTCATCGTCCTCTGCTAACGCAAATGTCAAGGACAAGGAAAAGAAGAAGCCTCGACAATGTTTTATCTGCAGAAGTACCGATCACATTGCGTACAACTGTCCTAAGAAATCGGGCACAAATCGTGTTTCCATGGTAACCGGAACAGATCAACACCGCCATAGAGCTAGAAACCGGAAAAAGAAACCAGACACTTTGGAGTACGATGAGGTGGTCGTCGATAGGGAAATGTCGGATGAAGTACATAAGACAGACCAATCACAGGGTAGGATGCCGGTGGTTGAAGGGCTGGTTGGCAGGCAAGTAGTGACGGTTTTAAGAGACACGGGGTGTAGTGGGGTGGTGCTTAAGCAAAGCTTGGCAACACAGGACCAGTTAACTGGTGATACTAAGACTTGTACATTGGCTGATGGAAGTCTTCTTCAAGTACCTATTGCTAAGGTAATGGTAGACACGCCTTATTATGTTGGTTCTGTAGACGCCTGGTGTATGCAGAATTCAATCTACGAGCTCATTTTGGGAAATATCGAAGGCGCAAGAGCCCCAGATGATCCTTACTTAGGATGGAATTATGGTGAGGAACTTGTAGTGGCAGTCAAGACAAGAGTGCAGATTTAACAAGAAGGGAAGCCATATCGTCCTCTCACTGTACCTACAGCTTTGACAGACGTTCAACCGGGTGACATCAGACAGGCGCAATAGGATGACCCTAGCTTGGATAGTGTCAGAGGTATGGCAAAGCGGGAAGAGGTCAAAGAGAGGCGGGATGGAGGAAAGTCGAAATTTTTCGAACATGGTGGATTGATATACAGGGAATATCAGAGTCCTGCGGTGGCGAATGGTCGAACGTTCAAACAGCTTGTTGTGCCCGCATGATGTCGGGGCATCTTGGAGCCAAACGGACAGCGGATCGGGTCATGATGGAGTTTTACTGGCCTGGAGTGAGTAGCGACATTACCAGATTTTGTCGATCGTGCGATGTGTGTCAGAGGACCTATCCCAAGGGACGCGTATCCAAAGTACCCCTTGGTACCATGCCTTTAATCAACATTCCGTTTCAGCGGGTGGCGATAGATCTTGTGGGTCCTCTTCAACCAGTGACCGACCGTGGAAATCGGTACATATTGACAATCGTAGATTACGCGACGCGCTATCCCGAGGCGGTGGCGTTAAAAGGGATAGAGACTGAACGCGTTGCGGAAGCTCTGGTTGACGTTTATAGTAGAGAGGGAGTCCCGCGCGAGGTACTAACGGACCAAGGAAGTCAGTTCACATCAGACGTGATGAAGGAAGTCAGCCGACTGTTGTCGATTCGCCAGCTTACGACCACGCCCTATCATCCGATCTGTAACGGCTTGGTTGAACGATTTAATGGGACGTTGAAACAAATGCTTAAGCGGATGTGTGCTGAGCGGCCCAGAGATTGGGATAAGTACTTGAACGCACTGCTATTCTCTTATCGCGAGGTCCCTCAAGAGAGTTTGGGTTTCTCGCCCTTCGAGCTGTTGTATGGGAGAACGGTACGCGGGCCTATGATGGTATTGCGCGAGTTGTGGACCAAGGAAGTACCCGACGCGGATACTAAAACTACTTACCAGTACGTGGTAGATCTCAGAGAACGTCTTGAGGAGACCTGCAAACTCGCTCACGAACAGGTCAAGTCTGCACGGTCCCATCAAAAGAAGTATTATGACAGAAAGGCAAAGGAAAGAACCATGGAGCCAGGACAGAGAGTGCTTGTTCTTCTGCCAACGAAACGTAACAAACTGTTGATGCAGTGGATGGGCCCGTATGAGATAGTTGAAAGGAGAGGGTCTATGGACTATCGTGTCAACGTGAGAGGAAAGATAAAGACCCTACACGCGAATCTGTTGCGTCTGTACGTCGAACGAAAGGATGCAGCAACCACAACCTGCGGGGTGGAACCAGGAGTCTGGTCAGTAGTTTGCGCGGCAATTGTTGAAGAACATGGAGGGGTTGATGAGGAGGATGTTTCTTTGGAGGCGCTAGAGACAGTACCAAGTCCAGTTAGTTCGGAGTCGGTGGCCAATGTGGATGTATCAGCTTTGTTGGATAGTAGTAAAACACAGCGAGTGAACGATTTGTTGACGTCGGTTGCTGATGTGCTGACCGATGTTCCTGGAAGAACGGACCTGGTGGAACACGACATCAAGTTAACGACGCATGATCCGGTCAGAGTCAAGAGTCGCGACTTTCCTTTCCAAATGAAGCAGACAATTCGAGAGGAAATGGACAAGATGTTACAGATGGGTGTAATTGAGCATTCTGAATCGCCGTATGCTGCACCCGTTGTCATGGTCAGGAAGAAAGATGGTAGCAACAGATTCTGCGTTGACTATCGGCAGATCAACAGAGTTACGGTATTCGACGCTGAGCCGATGCCTAACGCTGACGACATCTTTTCTAGATTGTCGGGACACCACTATTTTTCACGACTTGACTTGAGCAAGGGGTACTGGTAGGTACCGATGGCGGAAACATTCAAGGCTAAAACGGCGTTTACGACACCCGTAGGGCTATTTCAGTTCACCGTCATGCCGTTCGGGCTAGTTAACGCTCATGCCACCTTCTGTAGACTGATGCGCAAGCTTTTGTACGGGATGTCAAACGTTGAAAGTTTTATCGATGACATGCTCATTTACACTACGACGTGGGAACACCATCTTGAGGTTCTACGCGATCTTTTTGAGAGGTTAAGGAGAGCTGGATTGACGGCTAAACCGTCAAAGTGTGCAATAGGTTACAAGAGCCTAGATTGTTTGGGGCACATGGTTGGCGATCAACGACTCTTACCAAACCCGGATAAGGTCAAAGCGATACTCGAAGCATCGCGGCCGGTAACAAAGACCCAGGTCCGATCCTTCATAGGGTTGTCAGGATTTTATAGGAAATTTATTCCGAACTTTGCCGCAATTTCCGCACCTCTGACGGATCTCACAAAGAAAGGTCAGCCCAACAAAGTGATCTGGAAAGAACCCCAGGAATCAGCATTTTGCACCTTGAAGAAGATGTTATCTTCTAGTCCTATCCTAATACTCGCTGATCTCGAGGCGGAATTTACTCTCCGTACCGACGCGTCTAATGATGGACTTGGCGCGGTATTACTGCATGAGGAGGAGGGAGAATTATTCTCAGTCGCGTACGCGAGCAGGAAACTGAAAGGATCCGAACGATCATACGCGGTCATCGAAAAGGAGTGTCTGGCTGTTATCTGGGGAATAACGAAATTCCAGCGATATTTATACGGACGGCAATTTGTTCTAGAGACTGACCATCAACCTCTGTTATATCTGAACAAATTGAAAGGAACAAACGCTAGGTTGATGAGGTGGGCATTGATAATGCAGCCATACCGTTTCCGTATAAAATCTATTCGTGGAAGAGACAATGTAGGGGCGGATTATCTGAGTCGGGTATAGAGACAATTTAAATGTTATCCAGTCAGAACCAGTGATATGTGTTATATAAATGGAAATTCTCCCTAATTTCATTTTTTACCGGGGGCGTGTGTCACATATCACATGTATAAGAACTTTGAATTACGCGCGCACGGTAGAAAGTCGTGTATAGGATATTTATTTGGAAACGAGGGGAGGACATTCGAATATGGAACACTAGCAGGTGCGTTGTAACCGTGGGCGGTTAATAAACGTAAATACGGGAATAACACCAACGGAAACCGCAGCTTTCGGTGAGTGCCATACCCGTTAAAGGTTTATATATGTATTGTTAAATTCATGAGTTATTTTATCCATTTTGCTGTGAGATAAACAGCCGTAAACAGTGTCATTACCTGTTCTATTTATAGAGTCGCAACCGTACTGTACAGGTGTATACACGTGTTAGCAGGTGCGCGTTTGTTATTGTAAGCTAGTAAGGTGGTGACGCTACATTTGTATATTCAAGGAGTGATGCGGCATAATATGTAACATTATAACAAACAAAAGTTGTAGTTAAGTAATTACTGTTTATAAGCTGGAATAATTTTGAATAATTATAAAGAGTTTCGTAGAGTGGTTACATCTATTGTGGCTTATGATATTACACGCAAAACGGGTTACGTTGTAGCGTTGCTAGTAATAGCGTGTTCCTTAAAGACGGTTACTGCAATTTACTCAGAATGATAGGGAATAAGTTTGTGATTAGTGGATGTCAATTATATTGTAGTTTAACCCGATATTGTTGGTGCCGGTGGGGTCTCACATTGACGTTTCCGGAGTGTTACGGACCGGTGGCCGATGCTATTGACCGGTGAGGTAGACCAAGGTTCATACAGTCCTCCAACTGGGAATGGTTATTTGGGATGATCGTCCAACCCTCGGGTCTGTTGATGTAGGATTCGTCTTCGGCTTGGGAGGGTTAAGGTTGTGGAGTACCTGGAGTAGCTATGGTAGCTAGGGACTCAGTACACCGAAAGTGGAACTCAGCCCACTAGTAAGTGTGAGGACGTTTGGCCGTCAGTGTGCAACATGGTGGATTACTGCCCACTTGCATTGTGATCTGAGACAGTAGTGTTCATTGTTTGACTGTTTTATAGAAAGTGTGGACCACAGCCCATCTTTACCAGTGTTATTGTGTATTTTGTTGTGTTGTAGCAATGGAGTGAAAGAGTGAGAGAATCCGTGTTAACTTACCTTTTCTGTCATTGTAAATTAATATATGTACAGGTATACTAAGGAACAAGTGTCAGTTATATATGTCAGCATCAACACAAAACCGCTCTTCCCGTTACAAAGCTAATCTGTGTTATGTAACCTATTCTGTGTTGTGTAAGCTATTCTGTGTTGTGTAAGCTATTCTGTGTTGTGTAAGCTATTCTGTGTTGTGTAAGCTATTTTGTGTTGTGTAACCTATTCTGTGTTGTGTAACATATTCTGTGATGTGTAACCTGTTCTGTGATGTGTAACCTATTCTGTGCTGTGTAACCTATTCTGTGTTGTGTAACCTGTTCTGTGTTGTGTAACCTATTCTGCGTTGTGTAACCTGTTCTGTGATGTGTAACCTATTTTAACATGTGTTATTCATTGTGGTTTGTATTATTTTGTGATGAAGGACACGCTTCACCCTAGTTGCTAAAATCAAGCATGGGTGACCTTCCGGCATACTGCTGAGAGTTGAGAGAAGTAGAACCCGTGTACAATATATTACAAGTAACAATTTTAACATTACCTGACTGTTTAAAAGGTGATGAAACAAACAAGCAAACAAACAACGATCCAAGTGTTTAGTTTTATTTTAACTTAAAACCATTGACATAGCAGTATAAACTACATACTTGTAGATATACAATAATGGACAGTGGTCATTATTTATTTATCTAATGGGTTTTACGTTGCTACACGGTCTTTCAGTCCTTCAGCGGACGAAAAAAAAATAAGAAATTAGAAGAAAAGAAACAGGTATTGCAGTGACTGTGATAAAGAGATAGTGTAGAGAGGGGGTTTCTTTACTATCAGACCTACTGTCTAACTTTTTTTCGAAAAATCCCAGAGTAATTTTTTTATCACAGAGACAGTCTTATTACTTAAGGCATCCTTAATTGTCACCCTTAATTTGTTTTTAATGAATTTACGTAGGAGACACTAATCTTCAATATT